TAGATAAAATTTTAATGTAAAAATCTCTTATTATTTAAATAAATTTTATTACTTAAAAACTTAATTTTAAACATAGACAATTTTTTATAACTTATTAAAATTTTTAACTTTGAACTTAAAAATTTGTAATTATTAAATTATTTTAATTACGATAATTTTCCTAATTAAAAATACTAATTAATCTTAATTTAGGGAAATTTCCCTAATTACACTTTTTAATTAAACAAATGAAGAAAATTAAACATTGTATTTATGAAAATTAGGGGTTTTTTCCCCTCTCCTTTACTTAGCTAAAACATACATGTTTGTAAGTATTAAAAATTGTTTAAATACATAATTAGGGATATTTCCCGATATATACATATTCTATACGTAATTTTCAAACCCGTCATGGTATAAATGATATTTAATCCTGCTATAGAAAGCAAAATAAGTTTTTCTATATGCCTAATTATCCCTAGAATATTTCTAATTATAGTAATTAACAGAAATTTTCTTAATTAATACATTTCTCTTAATTACTAATTGGAAATATTTCCCTAATTTTTATTAAATTTTTATTAAGCTACAATTTTTAATAGTTAGAAAAATTTACTTATTAACAATTTTTTAAAAAATTAACTGAATTTCCCTAATTTCAATGCTAAAGTTTAGAAAATTCTCTTAACTAAAAAATATCAAAATTTCTCTCGTTAGATTAATTACAAAATAATATAAATAGGGAAATTTCCCTAAATTATGAAAAAATATTCTAATATTTTCTGATAATTTTTATCATTTTATTTTATTCTTTAAACGAGAATTTTTAGAACCATCCGCTTAGATCTGGGTTATTTTCATCACTTAATTAACCTTTAAAAAAAGGAACTATTTAATAGTGCTTTTTTAAAGGAAAATTTATAAATTTTTATATTTTATCGGAATTTTATTTTCTAAATTATAGTGAAAGTAATTAAACAGTGGCATATATCTTTTTTAAATTTAAAACTAATTATATTATAAAGATTTTTAAAAAAATACGAAATAATAATTCTAAATATATTTTATGTTTAATTAATTAATTATTTCGTTCTGAAAACTTTAATACAACATTTTTAATTGAGAAAATTTGGCTTTAAAGTTTCTCATTTAATAGTTTAAATATTTTAAATTTCAAAATAAATATTTAGAAAACACTTTTGATTTTTTTATTTTGTAAAAATCTAGAATTTTTTTTAAAAATGTTCTAAAAATTCTTAAATTCAAAGCGTAAATTTTTTAAAAATTCCAAAAAATTTCAAGAATCATTCCTAAAATTGTAGGATTACGTCAATAAATTTTTAGTTTTATTATTATTTGTTTTTTATAAAACAAAATTTAAGATTATTTACACTAAAACCCGTGTAGACCGGAATCGTAGGGTACCAAATATTTTATTTCCGTTTAGGTAAATTTCCGTTTTATTCAGGTTCCGTTTTGAACAGGTTTTTTTTAAAAACTTTATTGAAAATTTTGTAAATATTATCTTCTGAGGTTATTTATTTAAAATTTATAAAGTATATAAATATTTTAAAATAAAAATTTTAATGGAAAAACAATTTATTTAATTATTCAAAAACAAGTCTAGAAAAAATTTTTTAAGCAATGGAATTTTCTAATTATTTATTTACTTAGTTTTAAAAAAATGATAGAAAATTTTAATTGGGAAAAATTCCCTTAAAAATAAGTGTTTTTTTTATAATATAAATTTAAAAATAGT